GAAAGAGGAGAGTGGAAGAAATACGATAATAAACCAACCAAAATTACAGGGAAATTTAGGGGCTAATGTAATACTCAACAATAACTTACTTTTTTCAAATGATATATCTGAATGGTTAGTTTTTCCTTTAAACTGTTTCAGATGTATGTTTTAAGTCCTTTTGTTCTTATATCCTGCACTTAATGTCCTATAACTGGGGTCAATAGCCTATGGCCCATGGGCCAGATCTGACCTACAAAGAGCTTGGATCTGGCCTTCAAAGGTCTGATTCTGGGGAGGTGGGGGTGGGGGGAGGAGAATTTAAAGGGGTCACATTCAATCAGTGATTTAAAGGCTTCTGCTCTATGACCTCACAGCAGAATTGGCTATCCCCTGTTTGTGTTCTCCTGCTGCCATAAACGGTTGCTAACCTGCATTCTGTAAAACATACTGGATTCTTCCATGAGATCTGCTTATTCTGGGATCTCACTGTTTACAATACTTTTTCACAGATGGATAAAAGGCATGGGAAGGTTCAGTGATTTGCTTAAGGTCATGCAGGCAGTCAGTGATAGAACCAGCATTGGTACAATATGTGAACTAAGATAGTTTATCTGTGTCCATATGGAAAACATGCTGCAAAATAACTGGCTAATTTTTGTGCTTTGTGTGTCTTGTTTTTTAGGGGGTATATTATATTACCTCCCTTTCCCTTTATTATACATGCTTTAAACCATCTTCTGTTTCACACCTGTCTGCTTCTCTTGTCAAGTTATGTTTCTTTTTTTTTCTAGTGTATAGCATGAGTAGAAGAGCATCAACTGAAGAAAGTCATCAAGTAGACTCTAAAGCAGCCTTGCTCCCGGTTTGTACGCTGTTGTTAACATTTTTGGCAGACTGTTAGAGTTGTAACTAAAATGCATATGTACTGCAACTGCATACCAGCTTGTTTAATGGGAGTAATCCTGATAAACTAGCTTTAAAACCTTGTTCCTGTGAAAACAGACATTTGTCCAATTTACTAAAATTTTAAGCCCAGTAAGATGAAGTGGAGAACTTCAGAAGGGGCACATTTTTTTGCTAACTGGAACACGTGTGTAAAAGAGGTATCATATTGCTGCAATGCAGGCAGATTGGGGTCACCTCTGCTCATATGGCCCTTATTCCGTAAGGAGCTAGATGACCCAACGGTTGACAGTAGCTGGGTCAAAAGGAGTTATAGTTGCAAGTTTGCTGGTAGCATGTGGTTGTGCAGTCTAGGAGGAAAGCAGTGTGCAGCTAGAACAAGAAACTGGGAAAAGTGAGAAAGAGATGCGTTATGTGGAAAGAATAAATCTCACTTTGGAGTGTTCTCTGGTATGCTGATAACTGCCATGTATAAGTGTTACGTTTCTACTGGAAGAATTGTGATTCTCCTGGTAAAAGTTACAAGTGTTTGCTGAATTTCTCTTGGAAAAAAACATGTACCTTCTGGGGAGATCTTCCAGGTTGGGACCTGGAAGATGTCTCTTACAAGAGAGTTCCTCTTGCCAGAATGAACACTTGTTACACTCCCTTCATGGATTGGCTCAGGAGGGGAGGGGGGCAGCAGCCACTGCTTCCTGCCTTTTCCCCAGATCAGACAGTCCCTGATTTAGAAAAGGAGTTGGGGGGGCAGGTCTTTACAGGTCCCTCTGGCTTCCCTTTCTTTCCCTTGCCACCCAGCTGGACAGTGGGGGCAGGGATTGCAAAGCCCCAGGGGCTGGGAACCAGAGCTGGGGAAGCTGTCCTCAAGTCTGGTTCCTTTTGTCAGCTGGCTTCCTCATGCTGCCCCCACTGCCCAGCTTGGAGTGGCAAAGGTATCCTGTGAGGGTGCTCTGAGCCAAATGGAGGGAGCAAGGGATTGAGGAGTGGTGGCTCTCCACCCACTCCCTAGACTGGAGTCCCTGGCTGAGGTAGGGGGAAGTCTGCTAAGCTGCTTCTCTGCTCAGCTCCTGGTTATTGGGACCCAAGCAGAAGAGTAGCCACTCCTTGCCCGTCAGACTGGAATCCCTGGTTTGAGGAGTTTGTGGGAAGGCTTTGCCCCAGTGCTTAGTCCTTCTCGCAATTGTGGGAGGACAGGAGCAGCTACTACTCCCTTCACTTTCCCCAGGCCAGGATCACCCCAGCCTGTACAAGGCATGTGGAACAGGGGAGAGGGGGCAGTTGCATGGTGAATGCCTATACTGCCCCCTCTCCTGAAATCTTTTCTAGTGATGGAAGTTTTCCACTGCTAGAAATGAACACCTGTAAATGGCTGGTGAATCAGTAGGGGCCTGTTTTGAGTAGGAGGAAAGATAAAATCAAATAATTCATTTGCCTTCAACGTGTAGTTCAGAGAAACTTTGCATTCTTGTGCTGTATTACTGTTTTTACCCCAAAAAAGTATAACTTTCTTAATAATAAAAAAGCCGTCAAACAGTAATGAATATGATTTCCTTGCATATTGTATCAGCATCAGTTTGTTTATATATTATAAAAGCCTAAGTCTGTCTGTCTGTCCTTAATGCTTTATTCGCGTTCAGATTGGCTGACGGAAACAGCCAATCAGAGTGCTCCAAGCGTGGGGGAGTGCCGCCATGATTCTGAAGCTGCCGGACAGAGGGTGGGGGAGCCAAGGCCTGCAGTGCTGACCTCGGCTCCCCCACCCCGCTCCTTGCAAGCGGCGGCACTCCATCTCAGCCCCCCCCCCGGGGCATTCTTGATGGGCACTTGGCTAGTGTGTGTGTATAAAAAAAAAAAAAAAAAAAAAAAAAAAATCTCTCACACATGTATATAAATAAAACTTTTCCTTATGTTACACTATTGTTACTGTATTTTAGTGTTTCACTTCAACTACTTGAGTGTTGAGAAATAATAGTAGTACTTCTACTTTCAGATCTTTAATAAAGACTGTAGTATATGAACTATAGGAATTAAGTAAACTTTTTTTTGTCCTATAAATACTGTTATTTTTTTCCTTTTGGTTAAAGGATTGGGTACAAGGTAGACCTTCAAATAGTAGTCAAATGTAAGTAAGCTTTCTATTCATTAATGCTAGAATTGATCAAATACTTTTGATGCACTGTAGTCTTTTTCTTTAAAAGTTCTGTTACTTTTTGGCATCTGAATTTCCTTGTTACTAATGTCCATATGAGATTGTCTTTAAAACTTAATCTCTAAAAAGAAGAAATATATAACATTTTAAAGTCAAAGGGAAAACTCAAGTGCCAGATAGTTGTCAACTATTTTATAATGGATCAAGGCTTATAATAGCTTTCAGTTAATTTTTAATTTTAATGGGATTCAAGAGCAAATCCATATAACTTCCAATAATTAAACAATAGAAACTAAAGAGTCAGTTGTTTTTTTATTAAGCACTTAAAGAACATTTTTATTTTAATTTGAACTATTGGCATCCCTGTGAGTTAAATAGGAAATCAAACCCACGGGTTTGTTTCTGTCAAATGACCGACCTTTGTTTTGATGTCCTGATCCTATTTACATTAATGGGTACACACACATGCACCTCCAAGAGCAGCATGTGCACTTCAATAGAACCATTTACTTTGCTGTTACTTTTAATAATATCTTTTTTTTTTTTTAACATCAGGCTTCCTGGATCCTTGACCAACCTTTTTATTATAAACTCTCCCCTGAAACCGTGCTGTAATTGCTTTCGTTAGCAATTCATCCCATCAAGTTAATTGCTTGTTAAAGCCATAGCTTGACTAATCTGATAACAGAAATGTAACCTTGTTGTGAACATGTAGTTTGTAATTAAACACCTCTGTGGGAATTGACTCTTTTAAAGCAAAGTCAATGTGCTATCATGCATAAAGTGGTGTTTACAGTAAGACTGAGAACATAAAAAACTAAAATGGAAGACTAGCAAGCATTTTTGGGTTTTTTGTAATTTAGAACTTTGTACTGTCTCTGAAAAGTAAGGTAAAGCAATTCTGTAAACCCAATGAATTGACTGTAGATTGGGGAGGGCAATTATTTTGGGCAGAGGGCTGCTTAACGAGTGTTGGTGAACTGTAGAGGGCTGCATGGGTAATCCTGCCCCTTGACAGTTGCCCTTCCCCCTTGTCGCCATCAGTCACCACCAGAAGTCCCACCTCCTAACCCCTGAACTTTGCCACCAGAAGTCCTTCCCCTTGTACCCCTGGAAATACTCCTTTTGGGAGGGGAGGGGTTGCCATCTTAGAATCAGAAAAAAAACAAATTGTACACTAAAAGTCAAACACCTACTATAACATATAGAGTTGCACCGATATATTGGTGCCTTATCGGATCGGCACCAATAAAATAAAAATTAACGTTATTGGCTATTGGTTTTTTTTGGCTAGTGTAGCCAGTAATGTCACTGATAAATATAATTCATTGTACCTTCTGGCTGGGGCCTCTGGATGCTGCATGCATGCGCAGAACTGCCTGCATGCATATAGCCAGGAATGAAGCTGGGCAGCAAATTTGACGAGCTTTAGTTCAAGCCCCCTGCCCCAATTTTTAAGTGCCGGGATGCTAATCCCCTGGATGAGCCACCTGCAGCTCTGTTCTGCTTCCTGCCCTGGCCCCTGGTCCCCTTCACTGCCCTGGCTGGGCAGTGCCTCCTGCCCATAATCGGCTTTTTGGTATCAGCCAAGAACATCTTTATTGGTGCACCCCTAATAACGTATTTTAATTTTATTACAAAATATATTTTTGTCATAATTTGTGTTTGCATAGTGTATATAGAGGTAATTGCATAATAACTAAAAAAAAATTCTTAGTTTTGTATATTGTAGGGGGAGGGGGTATGTGTATGTGGGGGGCTGTGGGAGCAGGGTGTGGGTGTGAGGCAGGTGTGGGGACTCCCATGGTGCAGCAGCAGGTAGGGTGCTCAGGGTGCAGGTGCCCAGTGGGGTGCTGCTGCAGCCAGTGCTGCACATCACAGCAAGGGCTGTAGCCTCCACCAGGCTGTCTGTATGGCTGGCACTCCCCACCGCTCGTGCACAGCCCCTGCACTTGCACAGCAGAGAGGGAAGCCCCACATGCTGCGGCCAGGTGCCTTCCCTGCTCGGGCTGCGCAGCACCAGAGAGTAACTTCAGGCTCTGAAGCTAGTTGCCTTCCCTGCCCCATGGGGAAAGGTGCTTGGGGCTTCCCTCCCCTGCAGCGCAGCCCCTGTAGGGAAGTGTGCGTGAGTGGTAGGGAGCACTGGTGATACAGGCAGCCATGCGGAGGCTGCACCCCTCGGTGCAGTGTGCAGCACTGCCCAGAGCAGCACCCGACCAGGCACCTGTGCCCTGAGCACCCCGCCCTCTGCTACTGCCACTGCCTCCAGGGGCTGTGCACCATGGACATCATGTGGGGCAGTCCCCAAAACCCCACTCTCCCTCACACCCGCATGCTGCCGACCCCAGCTCTGTGCTGCCTCCCCCCCTTGTCCACCTGGAAGCACGAAACCCGTGCCCACCAGCCCTAGCCCAACACTCCAGGCTCCCTCCCTGCTGTAGCCCCACCCCTGCTGCTTCCCTGCCTGCTGCCTGGAGCCAGCAGGAGATCGGGGAAGCAGAGCAGGTCCTGGGAGCTGGGGCAGCAGCAGCCCTACACAGAAGCTGCATGCTGGCTGGCTGGGCCCTTCTACCCACAGGGTGGGGGCAGACCAATAAGGCACGTTTTTGGGGCTGCATATACACGTAGACTTGCTCCATTTCCTTATGGGTGGAAGGGCTGGACCGGGCACAACTTGTTGGAGGGCTGCACAGACTGGATGAAAGTGCTTGGTGGACCAGATCTGGCCCCCAGGCCATATTTTGTCCGCCCCTGTTCTAGGTTGATGTATCAAAATCAAAAAGCACTGGGCTAGCAATCCATGGCTAGCAATCCATGGCTCCAAGACACCATATTGTCAATGAAATCTCCAATATTTTCACGGCAGCAAGAAAAAAAATAACCTTGAGGTTGAATGGGAGAACAAAATTTGATGTTGTCTGCAGTGCATTATTTGTTCATTATTGTTGCCTAAGGGCCCGTAAAGTTTGAGGTCTGCTATAATAGAGAATGCAAAAAAAATAGTTATCTAAAAGCAATCTTAAGTACTTCTGCACTCTCCTCTGTCCCCTACAGGCCTTCTGATGAAGATGCGTTGAATGGTAAGATTTTTTTTATTTTTTTTTGCTGGAATTTAATCAAGTTAAGAGGCACTTCCAACATTTAATATACCATACATTCTGTATTTCTGTACGAAACTTTAATGCTTGATAGTGGAAAGAAACTGTCCAGTGTTCACTACTGAAATGTATGAAGATGAAAATTAACCAGAATATGATAAATATTCTTTCAAGTTAAAAACAGGTTTTCTGAATTTGGAAAGCAGTGGCTAATAGAAAAGAACTATATTTTTCCTTATCATGGAATAAATGTATATTTTGGAGGGTGTGGACAAACAAAACTTATAAAGTTTATGCTCTACCAATTTAACTGTTATATCTGTCCACTTCCATACTAGTAAGTGAAACTAAACTACTGTAACTTTTTAAATCCATTTTGTTCATATTTTAAAGTTATTAAGGCTAATGACAGATGTCACATTTGTTCCGTGATAAGACATTTTTTCCTGGGGCAAAGTGCAGTCATTCATATGTCCATTCAGTTGTCCCAGGAAAAATATGAAAAGGCTCACAGTATAAGGACTATATGAACATTTTACCCCAGGATATCACAAAGTATGTCTAAATGGTTGTCCTTGGATTGTATCATTAAATCAGTACAGTTTAGTGAATGGCTAAATACACTGTACTGATTTAATGATACAATCCCTAATTAGATGGACACACCAATCCTGGGATATTTCTGTTCCAGTACAAATACAGACACAACTTGTCCAGGGGCAAATGCAATGCCTGTTCCTACTTTTAGCAGTTTAAAGTGGATAAGCTCATTTAGACCAGTATATAGGTAACACTGTCTTGGCAGTTCTTCACAGATGATGTTAGGAAGGTAACTGCCCACACCAGTTGCAGGCCCGCTGGTGACTAATCAGTCCAATTGCAGAGAGGCAATGGTTGCATGTGTATAGCTGATTGCTGCTAGAGAAGGGTGTATCTTTCCTCCTACTCCTCTTCTCAATGCTGGCTCTACACTGACATTTGAAGAAGGCTGTTGTTGCCTTTTTGATTTGGAACTGCCAGCAATCACAATCTGCAACCTGCGTTTCCCACAGTTTATAGTCAATACCGCAGGCAGAAAAGTATCTCTTTAGAGCAGGGGTGGGCAAAGTGCGGCCTGGGGGCCGGATGCAGCCCACCAGGCCATTCTATCTGGCCTGTGGGGCCCCTAAAAAATTTAGAAAATTAATAATTATCTGCCCTGGGCTGCCTGTCATGCAGCCCTCAATGGCTTGCCAAAACTCAGTAAACAGCCTTCTGCCCAAAATAATTGCCCGCCCCTGCTATAGAGCGTCCTTGAAGTGCTTGTGTGGGGCCCCTCTGTTGTGTCTCCCTGTTGTCAGTTCCCTGTACAGCACAGCCTTTGGTAGGCAGTTTTCATCCATCTGGGCCACGTGGCCTGCCCACTGCACCTGAATCTGCAGGAGAATCGCCTCAATACTGGAGGTACTGGCTCTTTGTAACACCTCCACATTGGTGACATAATCCTGCCAGTGGATTTTGAAAATAGTGCAGAGGCAGTGCTGATGAAAGTGCTCAAGGAGGTAGACATGGAGGCAATATAAGACCCAAGATGTCAGCACCGTACAATAGGGTGGAGATAAGAACAGCTCTGTACATCTTGACATTGGTCTGTGCCCGTAGGATGTGACTATTCCAGACCTGCTTGTAGAGTCTGCCAAAGGCACTGCTAGCTTTTGAGGATCTGTTGTCTACCTCCTTGTCGATCATGGTGTCATACGAGATGAACTCCCCAAGTAGGTGAACTGCTTGACAGCATTTAGCTCAATTCCTTCAGTAGTCATCTTTGGTGGCATATATGCCATAAGCTTGGCGTGAGGCTAGCTGATGAACTTCAGTCTTCTTCAGGCTGATAAGAAGTCTGAAGAGTTGTGCTGCAGTAGCAAAGCTGGTGGTCATGATATGCTGCAGATTGTGTTGCGTGTGGGCCACCAGAGCACAATTATCTGCAAACAGAAGTTCATGGATGAGCTGTTGCGAGGTCTTTGTATGAGCCTGTAGCTGTCTGAGGTTGAAGAGGTTTCCTTCTGTGTGGAAGTGTGTGTAGACACCTTCCTCGCCTTCCCCAAGATTGTCCAATGCTTGCTGCAGCATCATGGTGAAGAAAATGATAAACAAAGTAGGGCTGAGTACACAGCCTTGCTTAACTCGGTTGAAGATCAGGAAGGGACTTGAGAGATTGCTTTTGTACTTGACTTGTCCACGCTGACTGTCATGGAATTGCCTGACCATGGTGAGGAACTTAGGCGGCCTTGCAAGCTTCTTGAGAATCTTCCAGCGGCCATTTCGGCTTACAGTGTCAAATGCCTTAGTAAGGTCAGTGAAAGTGATATACAGCCCCTTGTTCTGCTCCCAGCACTTTTCCTGCATTTGTCTGAGCACAGATACCATATCTGTCATGCCTCTGTTTGCTCTGAAGCTACATTGGCTCTCCAGGAGGACCTTTTCTGCTATGGCAGGCACCAGCCTGTTGAGGAAGATTTTAGCTAGAATTTTACTGGCGATGGACAGAAGGGTGATCCCTCTGTTGGAACAGTCTGACTTGTCGCCTTTAGTCTTGTACAGGGTGACGACTACAGCATCACACACATCTTGTGGAATTTTCCCGTGTTCCCAGCAGGCTATAAAGAGTTCGTGGAACTTGGAGTGTAGAGCAGGATTGCCATATTTCAAGGCTCCAGGTGGAATTCCATCAATTCCTGGGGCTTTGTTGTTTTTTATCTGGTCGCTGGTAGTGAAGGTTTCTTCCAGTGCAGGATGCTCATCTAGTTCCTCCTTAATAGGCAGTTGCTTGATTCAGTTGATGGCAGACTCATGTACTGTGCATTCAGTGCTAAAGAGAGTTTGAAAGTGCTGAGACCACTGGTCCATGATAGAGCCTTTGTCAATGTGTAGGGTCTAGTCATTAGAGCTCCTCAGTGGCCTTTGGATCAGGAAGGTGGAGCTGTAGGCTGATTTCAGTGCTTTGTAGAAGCTTCTGATTTCTTTATCAGCATATAGTCATGTTCTTTCCGACAAGATTAGTCCACCATTCATTTTGGATGCCACGCAGTTTCCACTGAAGGTTTTTACATGCCTGGCGATAAGCTGCCTTTCTCTGTTGGCTAGTTGGCTGTACTAGAAGGGCTTGATGAGTGGTCCTCTCTTTTGGAGGAGGACTTGGATGTCTGTCATTTTCATCAAACCATTCTTGATTTCTCTTAGCACTGAGCCCAGTGATCTCCTGGGTGGTCTCCAGGACTACTGATTTGATGTGTTTCCAGGGTCCATTGAGTGAAGTGTCTGCAGTATGGGCTTGGCTTGTAAGCTTTGATTGAAGTGTTTTTGAAATTTTTGTTGGCAAGATTAATTTTGCAGCTTGGAAACATCACATTTTTTGTGGGGTTGCCTCTGTGCTTGGGCTGAGGCTTCAGGTGGAAGGACAACTTTGAGTGAATGAGTCGGTGGTCAGTACAGGTACTCCTCACTTAACGACCTACCTGTTTAACGACCGCGCGGACTTACGTACTGTGCGTACTCCGTAGAGTCCTAGAGCTGGTCGGCAGCGCGGCGTCTCGGCAGCGTGGCAGCGCAGCATCTCAGCGTCAAGCTGAGGGGGACGTGGAGCTGAGCCCGGCACCCTCCAGCGCGGCGTCTCAGCGTCAAGCTGAGGGGGACGTGGAGCTGAGCCCAGCACCCTCCAGCCGGCTCCGCAACCCCAGGAGGGGGGAAAAGCATCCCCCCGGAGGGCAGCGGCCAGGACTCACCGCCATGGCCAGCGCCTTCCCGTCCCCGGCTGCTTCCCTGGGGGCCGACTGCGGTCGGTAAGGGGCGGCTCCTTGCTTATCGACCAATTTGCTTAACGACCAAGTCGTAGGAACAGAACTCGGTCGTTAAGTGAGGAGTGCCTGTATAGCAGTCAGCACTAGGCATGACTAATGTGCAGGACATCCCCAAGATCACGCTGATGCACCAAGATGTAATCTATCAGGTGCCAGTGTCTGGAGCGGGGATGCATCTAAGTGGTTTTAATGGTTTTTCTGCTGGAACTGGAAGCTGCTTATTGCCATATGCATTTCTCCACAATTCCAGAAGTAAGTGTCCATTGTCATTACCATTTTCCAATCCGCGTCTTCCAAGCATGCCTTTCCATGCTAGATAGTCACTGCCAATTCTTGCATTAAAATCACCCATGATGACAATCCTATCTTTGGATGGTATTTTCTGGATGAGATTGCAGAGGTCAGTATAGAATTTAAGTTTGTCAACTCTATCCACCAGAAGGGTTGGGGCATACACATTGATAATGGTGGCATGCTGCTGGTCAGGTGAAGGAATGCATAGGGACAGGATGCAGTCGGAAAGACCAATTGCTAAGCGTTGTGGAAGCAATGGAGATCCTGGAAGCAATGGAAATTCTTATCATGAAGCCAATACCTGAGAGGTGTCTCTCCATCTGCAATTTACCTGACCAGTAGAGGGTGTAACCATCACTGTGTTCTATTAAGCTGCCTTGTTCTGAGAAGCACACCTCACTCAGGGCTGCTGTATCGATATCTAGCTTAGCTAGCTCATGGGCAGCCAAGGCTGAGAGTTGTTGAGGGTGGCTGCTATCTTCAGAGTCCAGGGTTGAAGTTTTTGTTTCACTTTTTATTGTAATTTGGCCGCTTTTAAGATGCCTGCTCCCTGTAGTGATCCAGCTAGGTAGTAGGGAGACTAGTGTTTCTTTAGGCCCCCTTTTCTAGGCCTTTCTCCTATTTAGGAGCGAGCAGTGCTATCCTTCAAAAAGGTCGTTCAGATGCTCAGGGTGCTGCCGGGTGATGACGTCTCCAGGTTGTCATCGGTGCGACCTGTACTCCTGAGACGCCTGCATGCAGGATTGGGACTGTGGCTGCCAGTGTCATCTTACACCTGCTATTTTCGCCATGCTCCCAGTGCTGTAGGACTTGAGGGACTTGTTTCTTTCCTGTCTGCACATGAAGCTTTAAAGTGGAGTGCAGTTTGCGCTGACTGGCCCCACTCTTTAGGCCTGAAACTCATGTGCCGTGGCCTGGCGAACTAGGACAGTGGCAGAGAGATCTCCAGGCTATAGGTTTAGTTGCAGAGTATCCTTCTAGGTACATTGCCAAACCAGAGCTAAAGAGCTCCACCTAGCATAGTTATTTGGGTTGGGTTGCTGTTTGTCTGGAACCTCATCTTTGACCTTGCTGCCATGGGAGATCCTACTGGGAAAAAATTCTCTCCCTGGATCGCAGCCTTGTTGTGGTGGAGAGGCTTGCGTGTCCTGATGATCCTGAAAGCAATGCTGTCTGGATAGGTACATAAATCACAACACTCCCACTTGCAGTACTCCCAAGTAGTAAGTCTCCCTTCCCCTTTTTAAACAGTTTAAAGTTTCTGTCCACAGCCTGTTTAAAAAAAAAAAAAATGTAGTGGGGAGGGGAGAGCAGGTTTAATTTGTATTCTTGCTTCCAAAGGTCTCAAATTATATTTTGTACACAGGAGGATTTTATGTATGCATATACAGTATATAATCTGTCTTCTGTGTCTTGACTTTTGGTAGGTATTGCTTCTCCTTTTAAGCCAATAATGGATATCAATTACTACTACTCAGGTTAGTGCCTTGAAACTAAAAGTTAGAGTTTAATAATGGCCTGTTATTAAGTCTTGGTCACTTTCTGATTTTTGCAATCTTTTTCTTTACAGCTGTAGAAAGAAATAATTTGATGAGGTTATCACAGAGCATTCCATTCACTCCTGTGCCTCCAAGAGGTAAGAAGCATAATCTTGGGGAGAAAGTTTACACCAAGGGTATAAGGTTGGCTCATGTGTGTCTTTCGCAAATGTTAAGATTATTTTCATGCAGAATGGCAAGGCCCAACTTGAATGAGTTATTTTGGTAACATTGATTGCAAAAAAAAAAGTTATAGCCCAATGTAGTGATCTCGTGTCAGTGTCTTGCAAGACATGCAGAAATGCAGACTTTGTTATAATATCCTTTAAGAAATGCAGCTTATTTACTTAAGGAGGGGCCTGTATTAGCTTAGTTTTAGTAGTCTTTGGTGGGGGGGAAGAGGAAGAGGAGTATTTAGTTCTTATAATAAAGTACACTAAAACGCTAGTGTAATGGAGCTTTAATAACTGACACTTTCTGCCTTATTTTGGATATTTTATAAAGCACCATTCTTGTGGTGTTGGGACACATTTAATGTGGCTTGAACAGGGTCACTAATGTTTTCTTTAATAACAAAGTTCCGATTTTCTGCTTCTGCTTTTAAGAAAGAAATTGGAGCAGGGGGGGTCTGCCAATTGGCTAAAACTCCAAGATTACAGCGGGGTAGGCAAGGTTTTTGGCCAGAGTGCCAAAAAACCTGCCATGTCTACCTTGTAAGATGCCAGAGCGTGGCATGCCAGAAAAACAAAAATGGGGTGGGGGTGGTACATGGCAGGACACACTGCATATTAATATAGTTAATAAGCATAAATGTTGCTTTTTTACAGTAAATACCAGGTTTTCTAAAAATTCTAAACCTGGTGACAATAAATAAAACTTCGTATACTACCTGTGTTGTTGTGTTTGGTTTTTTTTGTTAAGCATGTTGTGATGAGAGAGAGGAAAAAAAGAGAAAGAAGAGAAAAAGAGGAGAGAGAAAGAGGGAAAGATAAAGAAAAAAGGAGAAGGGGAAAAGAGAGGAAGAGGAAAAGAAAGAAAGAAGAGAAAAAAAGAGAAAAAATAGAGAAAAAGAAAAAAGAAGAAAGAGAGAAATAGAAAAAAGGAGAGAGAATAAAAGAGAGAAGAGAAAAGCATTGACCACCTGGTGATAGTGTGGCAGGGGCTGAAGTAGGCCGTAGTAGGCCGTAGGTCATGAGCTCCTACCCCGTTTCTGTCTCCTCTTAGTTCACTGACCTTACCTTGGCCTTAAATGGTAGATAGACTAGAGAGAGAGACAGGGGTTGGCACCTGATTGTCCTTGGCCTTTACAGTGAGGCTTGGAAGATCACATTCTGGATCTTCCCATGGTTCTTCCACCCTACACCATGCCCACACCTTTTCAGAGAGATGTTGCCATGGAAGATGTTGTTTCTTTAAGGATACGCTTGCTTAATTCTTTAAAATAGATGCTCTGTATTCACTGCCATAAACAAGTAGAAATGCTCTCAAGTAAAAAAAAATCTTTTCTTAGTGGCTACCTTGGCCCTACTTCTGACAGCTGAGTTTGGCGATGTTAGGCTGGTTGTCATCAGACACAAACACGAATCCAAATCATCAGTTGTCAGACGGTTTCTCATAGGACTGAGTATGGTTTTCATTTGTGGAAACACTTGTTCACAGCAATAAGTAGATCCAAATGCAGACAGCAAGGCAAAAGTTACTTTTTTCATGAAGACATACTTTTCAGGAAGAGAAGACCAACATGCTGTAATCTTGAGTTGTCTTCATACAACTGAAGGATGGTTTTCTGTGTTCCTTGTAGCCTAGTATTCACATTGTTTAAATGTGATATGGTGTCTGCCAAAAACATCAGTTTTGTTAGCCATCTGTCATCAGTAAGGTCTGCATATTGCTGACCACTTTCCTCAAGAAACAGCTTGATGGATTCGAGATAAGCAACAAAGCGCTTGAGCATGTTACCTCCACTCAACCAGTGTACATTACTGTGCAGCACTAAATCTCCATATGCAGAATTTATATCATTTAAAAGTTCATGGAATCTCCTGTGTGTCACAGAGGAGCAGGCCATCAAAAAGTTGACAAGTTTCACAACCATTGTCATGATTTCATTTAAATCAGAAGATAAGATCTTAGCACAGAGGCTCTGCTGGCGAGTAATACAATGGAAACTTATAAGAGGATGTCCAGTCTCAGTTTCCAGAAGTTTTACAAATCCAGCTGTTTTACCTGCCATTGCAGGTACACCATCAGTAGTAACAGAAAACACTTTGTGCAGGTCAGTTTGTTCCTGTGTGAAAATATCTTTGACAGCATTAAGTATATTGTTGGCCTTTGTTGTGCTACGCATAGCACTCAATGAAAATAATTTCTCCCAAACTTCCCCAGAGATAAAATATTGAACAATTATAGAAAGATGGGGGGATATTCTTTATGTCTGTGCTTTTATCCAGTGCAAGGCTCATCACATCACAAGTATGGCGGACTTGAATAACTTGCCCATGTGAAAAGAGTATTTCTACGTACAAAACTAGAAAAGATGCTGGTCTGGTTTTTTTGGGTTTTTTTGTTTTTGTTTTTAATGAATCAACAGCTTTTCTAATGGATTCATGTTTGTCTGGTTCATCAACTCCAGAAAACTTGGCTTCATGCTTGGTTGTGAAATGGCACTGGATGCTGGAAGTACAAGATACCACACTTCTGCTGCATAGACTACAAACAACATGTTTCCCTTGGTGCATGAAACCACACAATTCTCTCCACGCTGGCTCAAATATCTAACTTTCCTTTTTTATTATCCATAGTTGTGTATCTGTATGCCTTCTAACTGTAAAATTTCCTGAAGTTCATGCAGGGCAAACAATGTAAACAGGCAAACAGAAAGCAGAAAATCAGAATTTAATTATTTGAAGTGCTTATAAATCTGAGTAAGTATTTCCAAGAAGGCAATCAGAGAGAGCAGAAAAACACACAAAAGTGAGCAATATGAGATGTTGAAATCTTGGAATGCGAAGTAGAGAGGTCAAAATAAACTAAACACAAACTGTTTTAAGAAAGTAAAAAGGTGAAAAATATGAACTGGTTTAAGGGAGAGTGAAAAACTGAATAAGAAATGATTTAACAGACCAAAATAAACTGGTTATAGTGTGTGGGCCGGGAGCGATCCGGGCCCTTTTCCGTGCTGCACGCGGGCTGTGGCCAGCAGCCCGGGCACGCTGGATGGGAGAGGGCGGGCAACGAGCTGGAATTAGGCACAGACGCTTAATGGTAGATTTAAAGATTGTTTACTTACACCAGAGATGGTTGCGGTGCAGGCTGGAAAACTTGCTTGAGTTGCGGTTACAGACACAGACAACACGAACAGTCACGTGGAGTTTGCTAGGCTCCACAGAACAGAGCTCCGGATGCTCTGGGTGAGCGCGCCACCAAAATCGGACTTGTAGATACGTCTTATAAATTCTTTCCGCTCGAAGACGGGAAGAGGTGGGCGATGGATCAGGTCGCCAAGCTCCTCTGAATCTCACACAGGGTCTCTATTACCCTGCCGTGTATCCAGAGTCCCCACGAGATGGATGTGGAGTCCTCA